GTCACCCCCATCACCTGCGCGGCCCGCCGGGTGCACCGCCGCCTCCGCCCCCACGCCGGGAAGGAGCCGGCATCCCGCAGGGGGACGTGCAGCTTTAGGACAGGGGTGGTGACCTGGCAGAATGCTGACCCGCAAGTGGGAACCGCAGGCCCCGCCCCCTGGCCCCAAAGCCCAGAATGCACCTCCCCCTCCCAGAGTTGGGCGCACCCTTCCCCCCTGCACCCTGAGCAGCCTACAGACTAACCAGGAGGGGAGGATAGCGCCTGCCTCTTGTTAGGGCTCTGCCCTGGCCCCGGGGTGGCTGTGGGGCGGGAGCAGGAAGTGCGGGGGGTTTACATCAAAGCGGTGTTTAATGTCCGCAGGGAAGTATCCACGGCCTCCAACCCCCAAGGGCCCTGCCCTCTGCTGGGTGCACCCGTTTCTCATCACACAGCTGTGGCTGTCACCCCAGCCAGTCAGGCTGTGTCACACCCCTGCACCGACCTCCACTCCGCTGGGACTGTGGTGAACCCCTGGCCAACCCTTGAACCTCAGGATTCCCAGTTTCCTCATCTGTGGGTTGGAGATGCGGACACACACAAGGAAATGCAACTAACGCATTCAACACGTCCTAGGGCTGGAAGTGTGCCGGTCTTCCTAGGTTTTCCTAGGGGCCCAGTGCACGAATTCGTGCACCTTGAAAGGGACTGTGGGCCTGGAGGCTGCCGTAGGCACAGGGGCGGGTCTTGGCCGGCCCATGCTCTGTGCCCCAGCCCCGCCCCTCCTGCCTCGGCTCCCAGTCCGCTACTCTCCTGACAGCCAGGAGCGACTGGGGCCAGCACCAGCAGCAGTTGCAAGCAGGGCCAGTCCTGGGTGCGAGCTGCGGCTGCTGCCCTGATACCCCCTCAGGAGCAGGGGCAGGTGGAGAAGCCCTCAGGGGCGATCAGCGCCAGCAGCCACTGCCCACACCCGCTGAAGGCACTGAGGGATTGGGGCTGGCGGCGGCCCAGCAGCAGGCGCAAGCGCTGGGTGGGACGGTGGCACCTGGGAGCAAAGAATTTTCAGTAACCACCAAAGGTTGGTCCCAATGACAGCCACCAGCACCCCGCCTTGGTCTGGTGCCCCTGCTCACCTGCTCCACCATTCCGCCATGTTCCCCACACGCCCCCTGGTGGTCAGCACAGTCATAGTGACCAGTTGTTCGGTGGTTCTGCTGTTCCGTTTATTTGCATATTAGGGTTTTCTATAGATAGATGTTTTGTCTTAGGACTGGGCAGCAGCAGCGCCTCCCATTTAGAACCTCTGTGTGTGTGTGTGGGGGGGGGGGGGTCCACCCACCTTGTCCCTTACACTCTGCAGCCTGCTGGTTCCATGCTCAGGACCTGCCAAGCCACCAGTAACATGGAAGATCCAGGGGCTGGAGGCCGGTCCCTGCGCTTCCCGAGCCAGCTTAGGGTCAGGGGCCACCAGGGCTGGTCGCAGCTGGGGGC